AAAAACCACCATGACAAATATCCTCCTTTTGCAAAATTGCTAATACCCTCATTCCACTGACAGTTACCTGCATATATCCAGTTTCAGCAGTTTTTACAGCGGTATCAACCAGACCTTCTCGACCAGCCATTGTATGGAAGAAAAATTCAGTAGGAGTTAAGCCAGAATAGAAGCTATTCGCAACAAAGCCCTTTGCTGCTGGAAGCTACGTAGAAAAGTAGAAGAAAAAAAAATAAGAGAGATCCAAACACAGTGCATATTCTGTATACATGTAACAGAAAAGTAGGTATTATAACTTTGCCTAAACTACTTGAGGAAGTTAGCTGATGCACACATAATTAAATAAAGCTTAATACACGTTGAGAAAATTGCTCTGTAAAGTTCAATGTTTAGTTCTGAATAAAGACTTGAAAACCCTGTCAAGATTTTACTAAGTTATATTAAGATTTAATTTCTCTATATTTAAGACACTTAACATGCACCAGATCTGTTGCTTGTCCTTCAGTCCTAGAATGACACTGCACTCTGTCATGTGTCCCTCTTAAAATGCTTTTAACAATCTATTTTACTTCGTTGACAAAATACTGCAGGTGTCCAAATTTACCTTAGAATGTTTTTCGAAGTGAGGCAAGGATCTGTTCTCAAACCCATCGGGAACTCGTGACCCACTGATGGCCTGCTGACCCACACAGGCAATCATCTGCGATATGTTAATGAAGGAACCTGCCAAGAAAGCCAACAAACCAACCACAATCACTCCCAAATGGGCACATCTGTGTTCCTTTAATCACAGAGCTGTCTTCACTTAGAGGAAAATCTAGTATTTAGCTTGGAAATTCTTCCAACATGTCCTCAGAAATGCATCACCTAACCCAGCTTTTTTGTTATTTATCCTGTCATTTTAGCATTTACACAGTGACTAACAATAACCAACCCTTTTTGTTTTACCTTTAGGCCACAGATAATCATGCCACCAGTATCTGATTAAAGGTTAAACATCATCTTGTTTTATTATATATTGTGGTTTACATGGCCCATGATCCAGACCTACATATTTTGTCTCCCCATTTATCAAACATTTTACAATATTTTTAATAAGTTTTACAAAGGGTTTAATGTCTACTAAGATTCCTACAATAAACTAAATCCTGATGAATCAAGTCACATTGTGTCCTTCTCCCACAAATTATCCTCCTAATACATTCTTCTTCTTAGATTTCAATATTTCTTCAGAAATAGAAAAGCTCCATCCTAAGGCTTTCCTCAATTTGTCAGATAATAGATCAAGAAAGGCAGAACAATTAAAATGATTTCTTCTAAGGTATCAAGAATAAAAAGAAACCTCAGACAAGAATTTTAATATAAAACAAGTATCTACTACACAGATAGTGCTTTAGAAGCTGAGGACTGAAAAATACCTCCAATTCTTAAGGCATCATTTCTGGCTGTTTTTCTGTGTGATACAGATTTCTGGGATAAGAAGTCCACCTGAGATCTTTTTACTGATTTTAAAGAAAGCATCTTAAAAACATCTACAATACTAGAAGGATGCTTTTCATCTTTTACAACAAGTCTAAACATTCCCACAATATGTCAGTAGGATTTCAATTAACCATAGCCCACATATATTTACCAAGAAGAGTCATGCCAAACACACAGGACAAACTCAACACCTGCACCTTTGACCACCTGTACAAAACAGGCTATAGAGGGAGCACAAGCAATGACAAAAACAGTGATGCAGGCAGCACTTAATTCTAAACCTGAGCAAGTCCTACCTTTAGAACCACAGAGAGCCATGATGAGGGGACTGTTGCTCTTGTCCAGCTCCCTGAGACAGGCACTGCCAGCATGATCTCTGATAACAGAGAGTTCTTTAAGGATTAAGGCCTAGAATCCAAGAAATCCAAGATACAGCATGAGTTAGAAATACCATACACAAACAGTACCCTGTCACTCACTACCAGTACCTTCAATACTCCATAGGGAATTAAAAAGAGAAGAAAAACAAACTTAGATGTTTGCTTTTAGTGAAATGAAATAAAACAAATAATTGCAGTTTGGCTTGCTATAAAATGGGGGGTAGCTCTGCCTCTTTTGGCAGCATCACCAGCACAAGCTAGTTACACCAACCATCAAGTTAAGCTGTTAGTCAGCCTAATTCATCCCAAAAATAAATTTTGGGCATAGTTTGCAGTGATAATATCGCCATGTATTAAGGGCTTCCTAGCTGTATCAAAAATACATATACTGAGAAAAGAGAATGACTGTAAGACTCTGCTTTCAGACATAGAGAAACAGTTAGAAATGAGTAGATAACTGTGCAATAATTAATTATTGGTGGATTACAATCACTGGTGTTGCTATTGATTATTAACCTACTCAGTAAATATTGGTAAATGTGACATGAACTCCATTCTGCTTAGCTGCTGTATTCTTTCTTTCTTACGTGCTACCCCAATACTTCTGGCAGGGTGGGAGGATCACACAAGTCATTCAGTGTTTATCTACCATTACCATAAAAATCAAGAAGAGCTACAAGAGCAGCCCTAAGTGGCCTTAATCCATTCACACATGCATCTCAGCAGACAGCTTTGAGCTTTCACAACAGCAATGCACTCATGAAATCTCCAAACATATATTCATTTTGTTTGAAGTTTTACCTCTAGTGTCTCTTCTGCAGTACAGCCAGGTTGCTGCTGCAGCTTGCCAGTGTTCAGAGCTTCAATGTACTCATCACATTTCTTGTAGCCAGCATTCAGGAGTTCATACTTAGCTTTTAGCAGGCCCTGTCCAGGGGTAACATCACCAATTCCAATTGAAAAGCCACGGTTAGCTGTATTAAAATAACAAAATGATTCTGCTAACTCAGTACCATACGGAGAAAACACAAATCAAAATAGGAAATGTTATTTTAGGTGTAAGATGCTGTCTGGCAAAGAAACGTACTTCCTCATTACTTACAAAGATAGACAGGAGCAAGCCTGGCTAGCCGTGACATGGCATCTGCAGCTTCTACCTGACCCCAGTCCCTCAGCAGGATGTAGAAGATATTGTTCTTGGATCCTGAGCCTAAGGTTCCTTTGTCCATACTGCCACCCATTAGCTCACTATTTTGAATTGTGACATCTAGAAATGAAATAAAGAACTCATTTTTTAAGTAGTACTTTAACTCTAGCAGTACATTTTGAAACAAGTTTTTATATAAAAGCCGAGTTAATGAAAATAACAAAGTTCCAAGCATATATTTACCGTATCTGCAGAAGTGCAAGAAGGAATGTTTGGTATAACAACTGCACTGCAATGTAAATCAGTGGTTCCTCCCTAGGTTCCTTAACTCACACTTCCCAGCAGTGAAAACCCAAACTAAAATTATCTGCTCATTTTTTTCCCCTAAGTGTTACCATACGAATTAAATTATTAACCAGAAAAGCTTTGCTCATCTCCACCTTTGCTTCTCTGCTACACTCTGACTTCCCTACCTGAGAGGACATAGTTGGTCCTCTCGGTTAGTTTGATCTCTTAGAAAAATTCCCATCTTCCTTTCATAGCCTTACTCCTTTTGCTGTTTGACTTCTAAGCCCGGCATCACTATTTCCATGTGAGATATTACATCTTCCCATTTGCCCTCTGCACAGCCACCCTAAGCTTCTCGGCTTTTCTTGCCTTTCTTACTTTCAAATATTGCATTAGCATCACTACAAGCATAGCATTATATAAAAGAAACATTATTACAAGAAAGCCTTTAGGTCTTTTCTTTGATGTTCAATAGGACTCCAGCCTTTTGAACAAATGCATAATTTTAGTTTTCATTTCAAGAACACTTATCAATTCCACTAGAGCTCAGTAGCAGGAAACTCAATCTCTACAGATTATTTGAAGAGCTGTAAAGCAAAGCTTCCGTAGTGTCACTCACAAGAATCATTGAAACACAGGTCTTCTCCTTTGCCACAATACTGTTTGCCCTTCGTTCGCAGATTGGCTTTTACGGGACAGTCATCACTGGGCTTGAGAATGAGGCTGAAAACCTGTTTTCCTGTCCACAGTGTTACAGGCTTAAGAGAACAAAGGGACAAAAATTAGGGTTGGAGGTTTTATGATACAACTACATTAAAAAAGCAGGCAGAGTGTAAAATTTTGTTTTCAAAAATGAACTTTTATATACTGAACTATGATTTAACAAAAATTACATAGCTATCATCCTCTTCAATCCTTAGATTCCTAGACTAACAGTTAAAACGTTATTTCACAGGTGTGACATCTTTTAAGGCTGGAATACTGAAATTCAGAAGCACCCAGCATCCCAACACGTTGCTTCAGGGCACCCATGGAATAATGTGGTTTCTCCATTTGGCCAGACAATAGTCTGCATAGAAACCTCAGTTTTACCAGCTAAGAATAAAACATCCTCTACAGATGATCAAGAGCCAGGCAATCCGTTTGACAGTAGCATGGTATCAGAACTACTCTGCTTTAACCCCAAGGGAATTGGCTGGTGACAGCTGATGGTTTAAGAATTCACCATGCAAGGTCAACTTGGTTAAGCCTCAGGCACCCAACTCCTGTGTAGCTTTGACCCTGGTTTCTTGAATTTTATGCCTTACTATATCTGATACATTGGAAATGTCAGAGAAAACAAGAACTGTCACTGAAATTCCTTTGTTGAAAGCATCACCATAGGTCAAAAAACATAAAACAGAGAAAGGCCTCATAACATTAGAAAAACAAAGATGCTTTGACTCACCTTCAGAATTGCTGGGGGTGGAAGGCGAACTTTAATCTTTTCATCCTTTCCCACTAGGATAGAAGCAATAATTTGACAGGCTTTGGCTCGATCAAAAAAGGTATCTTTTAGCGTAAGAAGATAGGCACCTAGATTGTATTAAAAAATGATTAATGATTTCATTCTGGCACCAGTTACCACTTAAATTACACAGCATCAGTAGTAAGTCCTTTCCAGACTTTTTTTTTCCCTTAATTCCTCCAGTGATTATGTAACAAAAATAAAACAAACAACTGTTCAAACACACACCTCTAGGAGAAGCTTATGTACATACCTGTAAGGAAATCTTGAATAGCAGCAATTAGGGGTTCTCCATTTCTTGGCGTTACCAAGTTAGCTTTAGTCTATGTGAGATAAGAAACAAAGATAATGCATTTGAAAAGACTGATATTGCATTTGTGAATCAACAGTGCCCTAAAGGAACAAGGTACTGGAAAAATCCTCAGATTGTTGCCACTGACTCCACTCCCACATCACAGAGAAATGACAGCAGCCATCAGATCCCTTGTTATCTACCATCCTTTCGACCCTTTATCTCTCAGTTCCATCAGACAAATCTCCTGTCTTGTCTTCTCTGGTAAACACTGCTCCACCGCCACCTCACCATTGCTGCCTCATTTCCAATTGGTCAGACAGCCCAAAACGCTGAGATGTCAGACTGGAAGGCAAAATACGAACCTGGTAACACAGCCATCTTCCTCTGGCAGTGCTCACTATTGCTAATGTTAGTCAGGCAGAAAGATACTAAAGAAATTCACCTAATCTAAAATCATGTACTTGCCAAGGATAATAAATACTTGTCTAATGGACAAGCTAATGGACTTGACAAGTAACGGATTTATTTAAAGAACCTTAATTTTCCCCTCAATTCCCTTTCTCATACTTTTTGGGCTACTTCACAGTTTAGCATTATCATTATCAGGTAGCTAAATAACTAATTCAGATTTTACATGTGACATAAAAGGTTCAGGGCATAGCTCATCTGCTACTAGCCAAATCCCAACAGCAACATGATCTCCATACCCCCATTAGAACAAGTGCTTCTGCTTTTGCTTCTTCTGTCTGAGGAAGGTGAAGGTTCATCTCATCTCCATCAAAATCTGCATTATATGGTGTACAGACACACTCATTAAACCTGAACGTCCTATGAGGTTTTACTCTAGCCTGTAAAAGAGGACAAAGACAAACCAGCACACAGTCAAGCACATTAATAAAATGAAATGCCATGTCACACATGACACACCTGAGTGTCTCCTTATCTGTCTTTTTATTAGAGACTTAAATCATAATTTCTGATCAAATGATTTATTGAAACCAGGTACTGACAGAAACCGATTGCATTACACAAATCTGAGTACTAATCTACGTTATCTAGAGCTTATACAAAAACTAGAATAGAGCATGCTTGGCAGGGATCACATCTACTCTGCAAAATGAAAGGTCTAGGCAAGAAAAGATATCAAGATCCATTATGTCCACTAACAACAATGCACACTGCCTAGTTCCACTTCAATTCTCAGGCATAATGACAAATAGACTGGTCCTCGTCATACCATGTTTCAGAAAAAGCTATTCATTTTTGCCAGTTTAAGAGATGAACAGCAGCAAAGGTAAATTATCTAAGACTCAGGTGATGTGCTAGCACTCTACTAGCCTGTGTGCACTTACAATGTGAGCCATGATGCTCAGCTTGTGTAGAGAGGGTTGTCGGTTGAAGAGCACTATGTCACCATCTATGAGATGCCTCTCCACAATATCTCCAAACTTCAGCTCCTGGGCCATCTTTTCTCGGTTCCCGTATTTCAAAAACCTTATAGCAACACGTGGCAATAGAGACAGAAAAAAACGTCAGAAAGACATAGAGAAAATATACTGTGTTTATAATGTAAGTTCTTCCATTAAATGTTGGAGTATTTCTATTATAATGATTAGGGGATAAAGTGGTGTGCAAAATGTTGCATATTAAACACCAGCCCTGTTAGTTTTAAATAAATCATGAATCTGCAGTGTTAATTACCAAAAGCACTGTTACAACTACAAGTCAGAAAAAAGCCTAGGCATAAAGATTTGAAAATTCATAACCCTATGATAAGGAGTTTCATTAACATACAATTCTTGTCACTAGGCTTAACCTGAGTGCAGATTAGCCCTTCCCTGAGGGCAGTCAGAAGGAAGCTCCTCACCGCTGGCTCCTGTGCATCATTAAACCCCCAAGCTCCAGAGCTCCCAGTACCAGAGACAGCAGCCCTGAGCCAGCCCAGACCATCTCAATTGCTAGTGAGAGCACACAAATAAACTGAAACAACACAGCAGAGCCATGTGCACTACGCCTCTCAATAATTCCCAGAATACAAACCTCATTCCACGTTTTTACATTATCCAGAGTACTTTAGCGTCTACTACACCAAACACAAGATAGCCCATCCTAAAATAATCTAACTGCAGTTCGCTATCACTAGAAAACAAGAAGTTAACGTCATTTAGAATGGATATTGAAACATATATATTTTAATCCTTATATATAACTCTTTTCACACAGCAGTAAAAACAAGCTGACAAAATGAATCATTTCAGATCATCACAGTACCTTTTCATCTGAGTGTGCCTTTGTTGAATGAAGTTGGCTCCAGGATGAACATCAGGACCATTTCGGACAAGTTTTCTCATAAAATTAATGTTTGCTTTGTTCACCTGTTGTGCAAAAACTTGGATCAGAAACAAGTGAAACACACTTGAAATAATTTGCACCTACTAGCAGCAACAGAACTAGCAAAGTATCATTGAACCGCTATCACATCCAATGCTTATTGCCTTCCTCTGCTGTTCCAGTTAGAAAAAACTACAACACTGATATCTGGTAAAAAATGAAATCAAAACAAAGCAACAACAACAAAAATTTAAAAAAAACACCCACAAACAAGAGTAAGTTTTGGTTGTAAACTCCTTACCTTTTCTGGAAAGGTTAGTATTTTAGCAACATGAATAGGCACTGCTACTTCATCTATTCGTAAATTAGGATCAGGTGAAATGACTGTTCTGCCAGAGAAATCCACTCGCTTTCCAGACAGATTGCCTCTAAATCGACCTAACAAAACAAGCAAGTTAAAATGGATTTACAAAAAGGCATTTTTAAAACATTATCTGTAAAAAAACCTTTCACATTAAGAGAGCATATCAAAACAACTTTAAAGGAAAATCACACGAAAACAACACAATGAAGTGTGGACAAAGTGATGCTTTGAAATTGCCTGTATTTATGGCTTAACTAATTAAAACAACTTTGCAGACAAACCTTGCTTTCCCTTCAGTCTCTGAACAAAACCTCTAGTCCACTTTTTAGGTGCCATATTGAGAGGAATCCCAGAGAGCTCACTGTTGATGTACAAGGCACACTGCAGCTGAAGGAAGTCCCAGTCTTCCATAATCATCTGTGTTTTGGCTCCTGATATCCTATGCTGAACAAAATAAGTAAGCCAATTTACAAAATAATCAGGTAGGAAACTAGCAAAGAATTTTCTGATAATGACTACAACTACTTGTTTTTGTGAAAACAGCATGAAAGAAAACTTCATAACCCATTTTAATATTCAAGGCAATAGGACAGGCCTCTCAACAATACGTTGCGGAATACAGGGAAAAAAATAAAAAAAGAAACAGGAAGGCCTAGAAGTAGCAGGAAAAAGCTCAACAGTAAACAAAAAGATATTTTTTAAAAGTTATAGAATGTTTTCCCTATCCAAACATTCAAAAAGTATTATTGCCATGGGAGGGGGAAAGGAAAAAACAAAACAAACAATCAAAAAAAAAACCCAAAAAGCACAGCTCCATTTGAAGCAAGACTGTGTTTCAATAAAAGGTTGAAGGACATAGCACTGCAGGATAAGCTGCTTTTTAGATGGTAAGCAGAGACACACATAAAAGCAGTTACTACCTTCAGTTCTAACCAAATCTTTTCCTGAGGTGGCAACCCTGGCAGCTGGAAGGACACTGACCTTTTTAATCACATCGTTGAGGAAAATGATCTCAGTCAGTTTCATGGTCAAGTCATCTTCATTGGTGCCAGACTTCAGGTCACTCACAACAGAGGGTCTGATGCACAATGGGGGCACTAAGAGCCGTGTGAGGATCAAATCTGAAGGTTTCCCTGCTTCTGGGTTCATCAGAAGCAGAGGGATGTCTTCTGCCTGGATTCTTTTGAAGAGGTTCAACACTACTAGTGGATTCAAATTTTCCTATCAAATACAAACAAAACTATGTTTCAGCTTGCTTATTCTTGTTTTTCTTCTGTTTCTCTTTCTTCAATAACAGAATATACTTCTCACTATGTTACTGTCTTTTTTAAATAGACCTTGAAAGCATTTCATAATCACTTCCCAAAGCAACTCAGTAAACTGTTTACAAACTTACAGTAAATTATAAATATCCAAGTTTTAGCAGAAAATCAACACCTCCATAACTTATTTTTAAAACTTCACTTCTCTCTTCTCAGTTCAGCTACTGGTGTAGTTTAAGAAAACCTCTCAGATATACACTACTTTTTTCTACTCAGTTATCTACATTAAGATATGCCTGCCTTGCAAAGAGCAGAAAGAAACAGCACTTCACATACAGTTACAAACTGAAAGAAACAAAAAAGATTTCTGATTAATTCACATCTCTCCTCAGTACTAAATCATTCTGAAGCACAGAAAAAAAGTGTATTGTAATCATCCCAATCTTCAAGTAAATCTACAAGGATGTACAAAGTTTATACAGCTCTACATTTCTTCTCCCCTTTTTAGCTTTTAAGTTTCATATACCAAGATGCATTTCTGCATAGCAATGAATATTTCCAGCGCTTCAGCAAAAATATCCCCCCTCTTAGCAGAGAGAATGTTAGTGTGTTAATATAATCTGACACATAAGCTGCTTATTTTTGCAAGGTTAATGTTACTTTAATGGATAAAAAGAAAAATCATTTGTCTTACTAGTATGCAAGACTCTTAGTACTTCTTAAAGGTTTTTAATGTATCTGCTTGTGGTGGTCTATTTCATACACAAACACTAGCAGGAAATGTAAGTGATAATAAATTTTACCTGAGCTCTTCCCAGTAAGGATTCTACTTCTTTATTATGTTCTATGGCAGTTTCAAAGGATTGGAGGAAAGTGGATACTATTGGATCTACCACTTTCTTATTGGTCTTGTATTTTTCATGTATTATTTTCAATAACCCACACTTCTTCACAGTTCCTGCAAGCAAGTAAATGTTTTTCAAAAATAAAAACTTATAAAACACGTCAACTTCCCTTCCAAAACTATATATACCTTCTGTATAAGCACAATAATCAAACTTCATCAGCTTTAACTGGTTTCCCAAAGTCATGAAACAGGAAGAGGACAATGACAGCCTTCCCACTTGTACTGCTACCGTATTGCATCTTGATCACAAGGTGTTTTCTGAATACACAAGAGGGTAGTCTCTGATCCTTTAATTTCATTCAGATCTCCTTCCATCAGAAATTTCTGTTTTTCTTTTTTTCTTTTTAATGTAAAAGTTTTCACAATAAAAACTGAACTAAGGTGTGCATTTATATATTATCTAATTAATTTCTAAAGTCATTTTGGAAGCGAATCATAGAAAAAATCTGGAAAGCCTTTTCATTTCATACGGGTATCACTATTGCTAAAACTTACTAGACTAGTACAAATACTTTCCTAATTCATTTTTTTTCCCTGAAATATACAGACCTATGTCTATACTGTTTCAATGAGCAAAATTCTGAACAAACAGGAAGGTAGCTACTTGGTTATGAGTGCCATATATATGTTTAAGAAAATTAAGTGGCAGACCAATACATTTCAGGAAGAAAATTGAATGTTCAGAAAGAAATCTGAACTTCTGAGAGTTCAAATAGCAAAATCTGCATTACAAGTTTTAAATTATCTGTTCAATTTAAATCTGTAATACTGCAGCAACCTCTTGCACAGCAGTGTTACTTCATCAGCACACATATAGAAAAAAATGAGTTTTGAAAAATCTGTATAAAAATTTTACTGCATTTACAATTTCACTGCGTCCTGAAGAACAAATTCCAGTGAAATTCAACATCAAAATTCCAAGCTACACTTTTAGAATTAACTTTTCCACAGGACAAAAAATTCTAAACTTACAAAATGCTATTTAATACAATTATGAAGACTAAAGGTCAGTCAAAATTACAAGGCCTACAAATGTTTCTAAGATATTTATCACGGATAGTAAATCTCAGTTTCTCAAAACATGTTAAGCAGGCTTTCTGCCATTATTCAAGAATCAAATATTGATTACTGACACAAAAGGGTATCACCTCAGACAAAACAAGCCACTAGCTCAGTGTTTATAGACACACACACGAGATACAAAAACTCTTTGAATTGAAAATGCAATTGTCTGTTCCCTAATACCCATTAGCCCTAGAACTGACAAAGATATTCAAGATTTGGATGCCTATCACAAGAGGTCAAAGTAAAGCCAAACGCTGTTCACAGCTACCACTAACTGCTCATATCAGCACTCACCATTAAAGGCACCACAGTAAGGACAAGTATTTTTCTTTCGGCATTTTTCGGACACTTTTTTTTTTAGCCCTCTCTTCTGAAGATATGTCAGGCCAGGTCGCTTTAGATAATCCAAAAATTGTTTCTTTTCTTCCACAGATAGCATGATACGGCAGCAGGTTTTGCAAATCATCTTAAATGTAAACATATGTAAACATGATTTAACAGAAACACACAGAGTTTTAACAGAAATAAATTTAAGAGGTTTTGCCCTAACTTGAGTAGAACCAGCATGTACTTTTCTGATTGAGGTACACAGTTTGGACAGAAAAAAATCAACCCACATGCCATAGGCTGTATCACAGAAACAAGTACATGAGAAAATGATCTGCTCGAGGAGACATCTGATGACAACTGTCATCCAGCCTCTGCAGAACCTTAACAACCCACAGCTTTGATGTACTTGAAATTCCTATCTATTAAGTACAACTCAAATATTTGATTCAAACTATTATAGACAGATACCGGATTAAGGTGATCATTCTAAGATCATACATGGCTTACATAATTAACACTGCCTAAGTAAATGCATTTTACAATACATAAAACACCCAAGATGCATAGAAACATAAGAACCAAGAAAAGCTACAGCACAACCCTAATTTGGTCTTCTGAGCTACTATGCTTCAAAAAAATTTTTTGATCATTTCCATCCTGCAGACGACCCACTGACGACAAAGCATAAATACATTTACCTGCAAGATGCCTATCACAGCTTTGAAGTAACCAACATGGAAACACGGCAGTTCTAAGTCAATGTAGCCATAATGTCCTAAACAATCAGCTAGATTTTTTCCACAGGTTTCACAAGGACGGTCTTTTTCACTGGTTCCCTGCAAAGAAGAATAAAAAATTAATTTTAAAAAAAGTTTTTGCTGTAATCAACAGCTAACTGAATAAATGGTAGGTCCATGACACTTCTGAAGCTATCCTGCCAGCAGACCCAGGGTGCTATTTTTTTCCCCCCCTGCATCAGCAGCATGCCCAGTAACATTGCACTCTGCCCAAGCTTTGAAACAGAGAAGTGATATTAACTCATTCTGCTGTTTTCAGTTGCTACAATTGATGAGCAACCGAGTCAGGCACTCTACAGATGGGTCTTGTGCCACCCAACAACCAAGCTCAATGTATTTGTCAACTGCCTCCGAGGAGTTTCCCTAAGCCCCCCAAAGGGATGAGGAAAGTCCCCGTCACACAGCAGGTTCCAGGCCCACTCGGGTGTTGTTCCACCAGTGCAACGCTCCAGCAGCACAGTGCAACTGACAGCCTCCCCGCTCCAGCAGAGGCATTTGCACATTTCTCGGAATGAAGTGGCAATTCCACACTTCCTTTCACGCTATTTTTAAGCACTTCAGGAAAGCTCCTAGCGCTACGATCAAGGGGAGCAGGGCAGGGGCTCTCACCATGCGGTGGTCGAGCACGCCGTACTGCAGAGGCGCGTGGTGGTTGTCCTGGCTGTACAGGTTCTTGCTCACCACCTGGATGTGCGCCTGCTGCCGCATCTCCTCGGGGGACTTCATGCCGAAGCAAATGTGGCTGCTGCGGGACGGGAAGGGACAAGCGCACACGGGTGAGCGCGCACAACCGCGACGCGGACACGCGAGCGACAACCCACGCGCGGCGGCGCAAACCGCGTCCAAACACGGCGGAGACCGCGCTGGCCTCCCTTACACGC